TACAGATTACTTCACCTTTATTGGTTCAGACACTCATCAGTATAGAACATCAGATGGACAGAAGGAATACCTTCCCAAGTATATCTCAAAAACGTTTCCTTAATTTCTTCTGATCAGGACATTCTTTTTGCTTAACGCTTCAAGATGCAAAACCAGTAACGTGCCTTAACCACAAGAACCCCTTCCTTCTTCCTTGACAATAAGCAGTTTTGAAATAAATTTAAAAAAGAAAAAAGAAAACAAAAACCAACAACACTATTTGAACAGCTGAATTTGTTGGAAACAGAGTTAGGAGCAAGACACTGATCTGGAAATTATGCATTATGAGGTTCTAATAATGTAGAATAAAAAGTCAGTAATTCTGCTCATCTTAGCATATAGTAGGATCCATTTGCTTTCACACAAAGGCTCCTATTTTGCTGGGTTTTCTGTGTTTCACAGCCAAGAAAGCTGAAGTGGGTGAGATGGGAGGGGTCTGCCTCACATTAAGACACCAATGGCAGCAATAGCTCAGATGCTAACGATCAGCTTTTCTGCCCTATTAGCGCCAAGTAAGTTTCTGAACAGCATTTTCCTGACTCAGGATTTTTACAAGACGGCAACTGGAAAAAGAAATCTTTCTTTCATTACATATTGCAATTAAAAATTAGCTTTCAAATTATTCCTAAAATCCCAGACACAATAATCCACAAATTCCATAACAGCCTATCAGATCAAAATGTATCTCTCCATGCTAAGGAAACAGAGGGGAAGAAAAGGGGGGAGGGAGGAGGGCAGGTAAACAAGTATGAATAGAAATAATATGTTCTCCATTTTCAGAACAGGACTAATACTGTAGACACAGGTAGGCCTTCATTGCAAGACCGAATGCCATCTCAGCAACAGCACTGGACCACCCATCTTCACCTTACCCTCCGATGTGAACCAAATCTCTTTCTCTGAGATCTAACTTAAACTGAGCTTACAAGTATTAACTGAAAATAGTCCCCATGTCAAGAGTGAAACTTCAATCAAGATACATGCTTTCTGATGCTAGACAGGCATATCCAGGACCCTGAAAGCTGGCAATAGGTCTTCACGTTACTCAAGTTGAACTGATATGCAACTACACATACAAGATGCAGTCAGAGGAACCTTCTGCTGTTCACTCTGTGTGTTGGACAGAACAGCTGCTGTATTATCACACAAAAAAAGGAAAAAAGGGATACAAAGGCAATTCAGAGTGAACTCCATTCCATCTTGCAGGTTTCACGGCATCTATCTGGTACCCCTGGTGATTACTCCAGTTATATTGCTACAGACACATGGATCTGCAGTAAACATAATAATGAGTTACTTTATGACAACTAAACTGAAACAATGGTGGGGAAATAAGCTACCAAAATGATGCAAGTGAAAATAAAAAGCAGAGCTTTGGTACAACAAAATGGGAAGAGAATTCTGCACTACAAAATTTGACTTCCCTGTGTTACTGTCACAATTTGAGCCCTATTTAAATAAAGTGACTGACTGAAAATAGATTTTCAAAAAAGGCTGTTTATGTTTGCTCCTGAACACATTTCTCTTGCTTATTGGCATATTTCCTGCCCTTTCCTCTTCAGAAGCTTGGGAACATGAAGACGCTAAAGCCTGTAAATGCTTGACTTGAAGTATCTGACTTCCTGCCTAAACATATTTAAACCCATGGTGCTTGCCAGACTGTACATCACCTGCGCAAGTTTCATCACCTGTCATAAAATGGGTTGGCTGGAATAACTATACAGCTTACTCAGGGCAGCTGCTTGCCTGGAGATGAGCAGAAACATGCCCTTCAGAAACGAGGCTCTAGGAAATAAAGCAATGACATGCAGATCTGGAGAAACACAGACTACGGAAACACTACCTCTTCTGAGTGCAGTTTTCCTCAGTGGTTAGATTAGTTTTTATTGCCTCACCTCAAATTCCTGATTTTCCTCAAAGCTCAGCTGTCTCAAGGAAGTGTTTTTGACAAGGTTCACTTTTTCACATGTTAAGTTTGACACAGACCAGAAGGAAACAAGCACTTACGAGCAATGGAAATGCATGGTAACAAATAGTTCCATGTTAATAAAAACAGCAACAAAACTCAAGCAACTGACAGTGGATATGTCAGGACAAGGCTCCATCCGAAAAATCAAGGTCAGTGTAAACAGAACCCGAAGCATGCAGTAGGGAGAGTGAGTCACTGCGAGGGACACGAGCACTGCCTCACCTTCCTCTTGTCCAATGAGGGTATGGCTACCCCATTGGAGCGGTTAAGGTCTGACACCAGCACCTTCAGAATGTTCTGAATCTAAAGGAGGCGAAAGAAAAGGGGAAAGAGAAATGGCTCAGAAAAGGACAGAGAGAAAACGTCAATCAAAGGTAGCCAAAGAAACCAGCATCCTCCAGCTTGTTAGGAGCATGCACCTCAAAACAGCAGCTCTGGACACACCCAGCGTTGCACGACAGCATTGTATGATCAGCCACCACTTCGGCACATACCCAGACTCTAGCCTGCACCTTCCAGTAGAGGTAGTTGCTAACTATTGTAGCGCACTTCATACACTGCCGATACAGGCATCTACACCGTTCATCTATTACACCAGCATAACCCTTTCCCGGCTCTAATCATGTTGTTCGTGAAACCAAAGAACAAGGAGGTGGCAAATGATTTGGAAGAAGGAATGAGACGCTCACGTTCTCTGGAGGCTGCCGGTCATCGTTGGTGGGAGTCTCGGGTCTACTGCCTTCTTTAGTTTTGCGTTTTTTCTTAGTTCCTGCAGTTGCTCCAGGGTTATTCTTCTGCTGATATTCCTTCAGCTGTGAAAAAAGCATAATCTGAAGTCCAAACAGAATATGCCTTCTATGAGCATAATGTCAAAAAAAAAAAAAAAAAAAAAAAAAAAGAAAACCTCCACTGGGTAAAAAAGACAGATCGAGTGTAATGACAAGAGAAACCCTCTTCAATGAGTTTGTCCCTATGGGGGTGGGGGAATCAAAAGAAGTCCAGAGAAGCGTAAAGTAAGAACTGCTGTGATGGGTTTATGACAAGAGGCTCAGAGTTGTAAACGTTCAACTTTTGTATACAGCTAATGATGTTCTTAGAAAACAATGTGGTACTCCATACTGCAACTAAAAGGAGATTAAAAGAAATATTTTGGGGTTTTTTTAGGGTTATAACTGAGAGCAAATTAGGAAAAATTAGTAAGGGGTAATTAATCCTGAATGCAAAAAGAAAAAGCAGTGCCTGATAGTAAGATCTTCCACTCTATGAAAGATTTTAAGAAGGAAAATGACAATCCCTGCAGATAACACATTAATACAGCTACTGTAGTAAGTGTAAAATATGAGGAGAAGCAATCTACAACTGATTTTTAAATCATATCCACCTCGCCCAGGAAAAGCTAGTCTGATAAGCTGTAACTTGAATCCTGCTAGGCTTTCCAGCGTTTTTGTGTATGTTACTGAACTCCTTAGCCCCAAACCAAGTGAGTCCCAACCAGTTATGTAAATGACCCCCTTCCACCAGCCCCCCGCCACACCGTTTCAGACAAAACACCCCCGTCCCCCCCGCTGCGCCAGACACCGGGCGGGCAGGGCATGGCTGCGGCCGCCGGTCAGAGTCAAGGTGAGGAAATAATCAAGTAAGAAGGATCCCATTATTCGGAGGATTTCAAAATGGAAGCCTGAACTGCTCCAGGACACTTTCCCATTAGTATGACTTTGACGCGGAGGCGCATGCCGACGGGACGGACGAGGCCGAGCCGCCCCGGGGGGAAAATTAAGGAGGGAGGGAAGGGAAAAAAAAGGGGGGGTGAGGGGTAGGGGGAAGGGAAGATCAACAAACCAAACCAGGCAGACAGCACAGCCCCGCAGCAGCCCAGGCCCAGCCTCTCCCCGACCGCCTTCCCCGGGCTGGG